GATGAAAGCAGCACGTTGGCATGAAGTTGACATCCAGCAGAGCACACATCAGTTTCGTTGATCGCGTTGTGGTCTAGAAACTCAAAGAGTCGTTGACGGGTATTTCATTCACGTAGTACCTACAGACCGCTCTCCGATGAAAGCAGCACGTTGGCATGAAGTTGACATCCAGCAGAGCACACATCAGTTTCGTTGATCGCGTTGTGGTCTAGAAACTCAAAGAGTCGTTGACGGGTATTTCATTCACGTAGTACCTACAGACCGCTCTCCGATGAAAGCAGCACGTTGGCATGAAGTTGACATCCAGCAGAGCACACATCAGTTTCGTTGATCGCGTTGTGGTCTAGAAACTCAAAGAGTCGTTGACGGGTATTTCTTTGTTGGTCAAGAGTCACACTTGGCTTTTTTTCTACCTCAGACCCGAGCATTCAATCGCGCAAGGCTCGTTGCATTGAGTACCTGCGATATCAAGATCTTTCAACGCACAGGATCACGACCCATGTCCGGGACTATCGATCGCTGTCTGGGATGCCCTGCTCTCGCGGTCATGATTTGAATCATAGACACGGGCACTTTCGGTTTTTCCGAACCGTTCTCGATTGATTCTCGATTTCAATGCAACCCCACTCGAGTACATACAAAGCCAACTCGAAACCTTAACTCGAAAGTCGAATTCGACCAGATATCGCACCTTCTTCTCAAGAAAGAATCTTGCCGCTGACCACTCTGAATGTATTACCCATAGACCATACCGGTCAACCCGTCGCTTGTATCACGTGCCGAACGTATCGATACCCTCTGTCTGGTACTCTTGGCAATTGGGGCGCGACAGGTGACACAAATTGTTCAACGTGAAAGACTTGGCGTTTTCCAGGGAAACCTCCTGACACATGTGTACGCCTCCTACATATGTGCAAGCCGTTTCCTTGTGTTGCAACGGGATACAGTACAAGTATTGCCCTTCAGTGTTCCCTGTCTACTTAAAACTTGACATAGCTGGCACAAACAGGAGGAGAACAACAAAGCCAGGGCTCCACCAAAAACACCGACACATATCACGAAGCAATCAAATTTGGGCGGCAGCAAGCCTCAGGAAGGACACGAGAACACAAGGCGGGGGGCAAAGGGCTGTCATCGCTACAAGACACCGCCGTTGCGACCACGCACGTTTGTTTGAGGCATCATAGAGAAAACGTCGATACTTCGGGAAACGCCTTGCCTAATCATACGGTCATACTATTAATTCATGTTGCGAAAGTATTACACAGTAGCGAAAGGAGACAACTACAGGATGTGTGCGTGCGTGGAAGCAGTGCCGCTCGTCCGTTTCCTGCAATGGCAGAGCTGATGAACCAACAACAGACTACCATTCACAAACAGACCCATACAAGCCAGGCAAGAGCGTGCCACCCACTCTATCGTATCTACACACCCATCTACGCATCACTCCAGATACGAGCAGCCGCCCCGTGCAGGGGGGGGCATACCTGGGCGCAGGAGGAAAACTCTGTGTTAACCTTATCCACACGACAGCAAGAATAATATATTAATAGTATTACAGTAAACCAAAATTGCAAAGTGCTACAAGGAGTAAAGCCGGCTCCATTCTCCTCAAGCGCCACGACTGCACACCCGGCTGCGGGATGACAACTTTTCGCGGGCGAAGCATCAACTCTACTGCCTCAGGGTAGAGACAAGGCTCGAAATCCCACAGCGAACCTCGAAAAGAGGCTAACGCAGAGCTCTATTGTTGACGTGGTCGGAGAGTTCAGCTACCGAAACCCTTCCGTGAAATTTGCAATCACAATATCAGCACGATATCCTTCGAACACCGTTCTGGCGTCAGTTATCTGCGTGGCGCCAAAACGGGAAAAATAATGATCAGTTCCAAAGATTGTTCACCAAAACATCCGGGGACGGGCTTGAGGCTAGGCCGCACTTGGTTGGATGGCAACTTTCGTGTTGCGGAACAAGCATTATTGCTACGCGTGAATCGTGCTTCAAATGGCGGCCGGGGATGTCAAATCCGATGTCCCGACTCACCATGTGCGGCGAACGTTCAGATAAAACAGCATTTCATCTCCTCCCTATCTATGCGCTGCACTTTCATCCTTGAGCTTTGACGTATCCCGGTCTCGGGAACATTACGTTTTGGCGACAACAACGGCCAAACTGCGACACCCAGGCGCTGATGAAGGCGCTGATGGAAAACGGCTACCTAGAGCAGTTTTTCATTTTGCACCCATTCAAAGGCAATTCCTAGCATTGAGAGCAAGTCGAGTGTCGGGCAGACACATGTACTCGATACGCTTCTCAGTGGCGACGAAGTGCGACGAACCAAGAAGCGTGTCCGTTATCTACACCATTAGTATGTTGAACTTATCGTGTTCCTTCCGAACTCTCCGCGTACCCAGCTGTCTTGGGAACTTGTCAAATCGTCCCCTAAATAGGTGCTGTTAACCGTAGCGACATACCATGGTAGAAACTATGACTTACCCCGGGGCTTTGTTGCGTCTTCAGAATTCAGATGATGCACGGGGCTGCGTTGGTGTCCTCGCAGTACACGTTGCCAGCCAATACCTCTGAGCTGCAGCAAGATGCACCGTCGAGCCCGTTCGCGGAGCCAGCCGAACCGCATCCCGACCCCCCGCACTGACCACAGGCAAGCGGACAGCAGACTTCGCCCTTGTGGTCGATTCCTTCGATACCGTTGCTGCAAGTCTGTGTTTCGTCAGCTGATTCATCAGCTGATTCGTCAGCTGATTCATCAGCTGATTCGTCAGCTGATTCATCAGCTGATTCGTCAGCTGATTCATCAGCTGATTCGTCAGCTGATTCATCAGCTGATTCGTCAGCTGATTCATCAGCTGATTCGTCAGCTGATTCATCAGCTGATTCGTCAGCTGATTCATCAGCTGATTCGTCAGCTGATTCATCAGCTGATTCGTCAGCTGATTCATCAGCTGATTCGTCAGCTGATTCATCAGCTGATTCGTCAGCTGATTCATCAGCTGATTCGTCAGCTGATTCGGAATCGATATCATCTGTCCGGAGGAAACACGCACCGTAGTGTCGAGCATTCATGTGCGGGCGGTGTTCTCTTTAGGACGCGGGTGTAATGGCGTGTCTCTATTTCTGCCGGCGATTTGGTCTGATGGAAACAGACTCTGAATGACGTGGAATTTATGCCAGGGCTTTCACTCACCGGTGTCCGGCCGGCTGCCGATGATGCACGGGGCTTCGTTGGTGTCATCACAGTACAGGCCGAGAGACTTCACCCCGTTACCGCAGCATGACTCCGAGCCGAGACCATTTGCAGATCCAGCCGTACCGCATCCATCCCCCGCGCACTGACCACAGCCGATCGGACAGCAGACGACGCCATTCCCGTCGATGCCTTCGGTACCGTCGCTGCACGTCTGTGTTTCGTCAGCTGATTCGGAATCGACATCATCTGTCCGGAGGAATCACGATACGTAAGGTGGGGGCGAGGGTTCTTACGCGAGGCGTTTGCTCTTGCCGGTATCGGGTAGCCTCGTCACTCTTCTCTGGATCCCATTTTGTATGTGTAAGGCTCTGAACGAATGGTAGGAATTAATTGTAGGATTCTGCCAGGGCTTCCAATCACCACCACCCGGCAGACTACCGATCATGCACGGGGCTGTGTTCGTCTCATCACAACGAGTCTTTAGCCAGTACATCTGCTGTGCTGCAGAAAAACTCACTTCCGAGACCGTTGGCAACACTACCGTAACATAGATGTAGCACACCCCGTCCCGCAGCATTGACCACCGGCAAGCGAACAGCATGCTGTGCGCTTGCGACCGGTGTCTTCGATGCCGTTGTTGAGTGTGTCGGCTGCCGTAACTCAATCTGATCCGTCATGTGTCCGTAGTACACACCCCACATCGCGTGGGGTCGAGGATTCAATGCGAGCGGCGCTCTTTATATTCAGGAATGCGTACATTGCGTGCCTCTATTTCTCTGCCGCAAATACTACAATATAAACGATAGACTTTGTGCGTACGTTGTGGGTGAACTGTTGTATCTGCCAGGGCTCCCACTCACCGGTGTCCGGCCGGCTGCCGATGATGCACGGGGCTTCGTTGGTGTCATCACAGTACAGGCCGAGAGATTTCACCCCGTTACCGCAGCATGACTCCGAGCCGAGACCATTTGCAGATCCAGCCGTACCGCATCCATCCCCCGCGCACTGACCACAGCCGATCGGACAGCAGACGACGCCATTCCCGTCGATGCCTTCGGTACCGTCGCTGCACGTCTGTGTTTCGTCAGCTGATTCGGAATCGACATCATCTGTCCGGACGAATTACGTCGCGTACAGGAGCGTCAAGGATTCACTGCGGGTGGTGCTCCCTTGCAGGAAAAGGCAACAGTACTTGATACGTTGCTCATTTTGCGTCTGTGTGCATGCGTCATACGGGTAGACCGTAAAATCTAACAGGGCTCCCACTCACCGGTATCAGGCCGGCTGCCGATGATGCACGGGGCTTCGTTGGTGTCATCACAGTACAGGCCGAGAGACTTCACACCGCCCCCACAGCATGACTCCGAGCCGAGACCATTTGCAGATCCAGCCGTACCGCATCCATCCCCTGCGCACTGACCACAGCCGATCGGACAGCAGACGACGCCGTTCCCGTCGATGCCTTCGGTACCATCGCTGCACGTCTGTGTTTCGTCCGCTGATTCGGAATCGACATCATCTGTCGGGACAACAGGATCATCTGTCGGGACAACAGGATCATCTGTCGGGACAACAGGATCATCTGTTGGGACAACAGCATCATCTGTTGGGAGGAACCGAGTACAGAACGTCAGAATGGATCAACAGGTTAGCGGCGGTTGAGTGGCTTTAAATGACTGCATCGTTTTCACACGGGCGCTGATCTATTACGCCTGAGTGGGAACATACCCCTCGTTATGACTTGTCCGCCTAAGCTACATGGTGTGCACCCTTGAAGAGCGACGCGGTTGATTCCGACCGCGAATGAGTAGATCGGTCCGTCTTGAGCGTGTTCTGCAAACCGATACACTGCCCTGACACTGACAACCCTCCCTCACGCAGGAAACGAGAATGGAGAGGATGGTCGTTTTTTTTTTTTGCGTAAATTTAGAGGATCCCAGGGGTTTAAGTCCTCGGGCGCAATAACCATCTTTATCCTGAGACTGTTCCGTCCACGACAAGAAGACATGTCGACACACCACACACACACCTGTTCCGTCGCACAAAGGCACGCCCGGGACATCCGTTCCGGTGGAAAAGCACGAGTTGGTAACCGAGAACTCGAAGCTGGAATCTGTGAACGTATTGTCGCGGACCAGGTTGTTGGTGCTATCTTCGAAAATAGCCTTCGACCCACTGTGGAACGTGTTGTCCTGCATATAGGTGCAGTGAACAACACGAACAGGGAGCGAGGAAACATGTGATATATGGTGTGGAGAAATTGCAAATATGTTGTGTGTGAGCGGATGGGCTTCCCCAGGTAAAGCTCCTCGCACACCGGTCACCACAGCCCATGGCGAGGCAAGGAATCGTTCGGTGGTTGTCCTTAGTCTCAACAACGCATCCAGAATGGAGAGTGAATGTTGCAACCGGTATGTGCATCGCACAAGCTTGAATCATCATGTGCATACATTACGTAGGTTGAGCGTGTTGGATGCGTATCTTCGCATGAGTGGGGCGTGCACATGAGTCTAAACATGAGGTGGTCGAGTGTCGAAAAGGGAAGGAGAGCCCGACAATCTCAGGTTTATTCACCCCACCGCAATCGCCAGATTCGATGGACACTTGCGAACCACGTCCTATCTACACAGAGTTGAAACACGCCAGGCAAATGTGGATGGGATGGAGGAACGAAAACACAGGCATGTCGCGAACAGCACGATGTCAACAGGTACGAGAAAGAACAACAACCAACACATGGTGAAGATATTTTGTGTAGGGTGTGCAAGCAAGAACCCGGGTCAAACAGTAATTGTGACAAGTTGCCCTACTGTATTGTACACTCTTCAACGTAGCAGCACCCCCGGTTTTGCTCTTTTCGTATTGTGACAGGTTTTGGAGCCAAAGGCGGGTGTTGACTCTTCTCCTGTGTCGAGAAATATAGCAACAAGCAGCGTGCACAATCGTCATGTCGATTCAACGCCGTTGAAATGGTACCCTGGGAACGTTTCCACCGGAAGACACCTGTGCAAGAGGTTTCGCTGTAACTTGTATGTGGTGACGAGTAACATGGGCAAGGAGCGTGGAAGCTTTGCTGGCTCTAATTTTCTCATGGTACTCTTGCGTTGGGAGTGTTTCGAGTTGTGGCCATAGGGACGATCATTGTCTTGTTTATGAGCATGCATGCGTAAATCACCGCCAACATCGAGCACGTTTCGAATGGGTACAGTATTTGAACATCTCGATCACCCCATGGATCAGTCGAAAGAGGTTGCCTTGCGCTGGCCAAGTGTTCTACATGGACAAAATGACGGGTGCTTTCGTCGACCGCCGCCAAGCTATGTTGCTTTTCATTGCAGCTTGGGGCGAACTGACGGCAGAAACAGGAAATTAGCGGTGCCGCCATGATGCACAGAATCATGGCGACACACTTTTCTTGAGATATGCGCCATATTCGTTCGAAGCATCCGTTTGGGTTCTGAAGGCGTGTTTTCCGACAAATGAGAGTGCCAAGCGAACCTCATGCTTGCAACGGACATGGACCAATAATGCGCACTCTACAACAGTTGTCACTCACGTAAAACTCGTTGTCTTCTGCATCCGTAGTTAACCACGCGACTTCCTTGCCGGAATAAATGTCGTTGTCGTAGACATTGTTGTCCCTAGGGTTGCCATCGGGGTTGCCGTCGGCTTGGGGCTCGTCGTTTCCGCGATCTGGACCAGAATCATACATGCACGTTACACAACATATTTCACTTCAAAGATAACATCGCGGACCATGCTTTCGCCGTGCGTTTTTGGCGTGAAACATTCCAACATGTTTCTCCCGTGTAGACTGAAGGAGAAACTTCGAAACGAAAAAGGCAGGCGAAGTTTCGGGTGAACGTGTTCTTCACCAAACGTCTCTTTTTGTTACGCAAGTTGTGCTATCAGGAAAAAAACTGGTGTTGGTTCTCGCAGTGCGCACGTCTACGGTAGCTAGAGTCGGAATGACAGACGGGAATATATTGCATTGATTCCCGGAAAAAAAGCGAAAAACCGGATTGTGTCCGTTAACGTGCGCGTTATTTCTGCCCTTCTCCGTGTATCTTATGCGCTGGTCCACTGCAGTACGGATGTTTGAATTTGGACTTCAGAACTTAACACGTACATCTCGCCAAGAATGCACTCTAAGGTTGAGCCGAAAATGCCATTGCCGCAAAATTGGTACTAGATCGTTTGAACAATTTGAACAGATGTGTATCCGAGACTCATATACACGAAGAACTCACAAAAGTAGATGGCGTAGTCATCGTCGTCTCCGGACCCAACCGCGATCGTGTTGCTGTAGACGTTGTTCCTGTTCGCGCCATTGCTCCAACGCACACCACCTGTTTCAATGGATTTTCGCCATATACAACCGATGAGTCGACGAGAGCCACACGTGTCAACAACAGCAAATGGTGCGTTTTCATACACTTACAATGTAGGTGTCTCTGGTTGCGAGCCGTCTTCCAGCTCTCGCGCTCTGACCCCACCCCGCCTTGACGGATACATCATAATCGGCTGTGCTCTTGCCACCCAGCTGTTACGTGAACATTGCATGTAGGGGGTCTGGACCGCAACCCTCCCCCACATTGTGAAGTACAAGTTCAGGAAACACCCGCTGTCTGCGCGCCACTTCGTACCCTCCGTCAGATGCCAAGAAAATTGATCCTTGCCTGCACCAAACTGTTTAAGCTGGCAACGACTAAGTCTGCTGTGGGATGCGCAGGGATCCGATCCATTCGGAGTTTCATTTCGAGGGCAAGACCAAATGTTGCGGGTCACCACTTGGTCATCTTTTGATAGACATTTCCACACGGTTCTTTCGTTATCTACATGCTATTTGCGTGAAATTACTATCTGCGAGTCAACCGCACAGCGGAGTCTGTCGTCGATGACCATCGAGTGCCAGAGGCGCATTTTCTTGATGACCACAAAGATTCGCTTGCGAGTTTTTGCTCGTGTTGTAATGTTGTCATTTTACATTTTGCTTCACTCAACAAAACGGAGCGTGTCTCCGCGGCATGTTATAACCAACCCTGCTATTATATCAGAAACCGATTCGGCCGGTGCCGCGACTCCTACGTATAATCGGTGGCGGTATCTACCAACCTTCGCAGAGAATAGTACAATACTGAACAGGTAACCTTAGGAACGTCGCCCCCTTGTCAGATTTCTCCTGGATATGCAAATAAGCGCCAAGCGTGGCCCAACATGCGACAGTGTTTTCTCTACCAATATTGACTATGCAGAGCCGTTTCATTCCTCATGTTGCCCTTGTTGACCTTTTGGTGATGGTTGGTAGGATGTATCGACGTTCTTGATTTCCCTTCAATACATTTTTGGCGTTTGTATTCGCATTCGCTTCAACGCAGGACCCTTTTTCGAGTGAACACTGGATGTGTCCATATCCTTCATACATATATAATGTCTCCAACCCACAACCAGCTGAGAGAAACACCATCGACAAACTCACGGGGATTGTCTTCAAAAACGTTGTCGTAGACGTCGCAGTCGGAGCTCTCGTACAAGGCGAGACCTGCATCGCCGGAGTCTCTGACGGTGTTACCGGTTACCGTCGCGCGATCGCATGACCGGTGGAGCATGATGCCGTTCTCGGCGTTGTCCCAGACCTACCCAGGCAGTTCAATGGAGTGAGCCGGGAGGGGAGTACGCGAAGTGGCGCGGAGGTAAGATGGTATTGGATGCGGTGGGGCTGGCTCAAGGGTGGTCGAGAAGGACGTCGTGGGACATCGAAGACTACGCCAGCCCTGGACTTCGGGGGCATCGGGGCCCCAGCGTTCCGTGCAGCGTGTGCTTGCATCGCGTAGTAAATTGGATGATATGGAATTGTTGCACCGACTTCTGCCTGACGAACGAACATCGATGGTGGGATAGGAGCTTCGACCGAACTCTCATAATAGTTTCAAGACGCAGCAAGCTCACACCGCAGTCATCAGGAAGCAATCGAGGGAGCTTCCCACGTAGACGAGAAAACACACGGCGAGGGCACAACCCGAAGGTATGCAAACTCTCGAAAGGTGTGGGTGGTGTCGGGAGGGCGGCTTATGCGCCGATACTCTGTGGACGACCAGCCACGCTTGACAAATTGTTGTTAGGCAACTGGTTTCGGGTGTATGAGCCTGATCAACGTTACGCGTCTTCGAATAACACGAATTGGAAATCGCGCACGGTAGGCATCCGTTTGTGTGGGATCTTGTGCTTCTAAAGCCTATGATACAGAACATTTGAGACCAACCAATCGAGGCACTAGAAGAAAACACCCTACAGCAGTGTTTCTAGACAAGACACCGCGAGTTGGCGATACTTTCAATAGTTCTAACGTTCAACGAGAGCGGCTGCAGGTTTCCATGCACAGGTAAGGAGAAAATCACCCCAACAAAACAGGTCTCGATGTAGCTCGATGCAGGCGATGTCAGTAGACTCGGGGCATCCTGTGGGATTCATTCCTGACGCCACTGACCTCATTGTCGGCAATAGTGATGTCGGTGCATCTCTTCGAAGCAACTAATTTGTTTTTGCGCGTGGTCGTGATGGCGGCGTCGGTGTTTGTGAATGATAATGGCGGCACCGACAAAAGGATCAACGGGACGCGGTGCAAAGGGTGCGCGGGGAGAGTCAATAGAACTGAGGTACTCGTGTCATGGGCAGGCATTATGGGTTGCACGTCGTCATTGTTTCGGTGCCGATGGCATAAAACAGATTTTGGCTGTCTACCGTCCCGGAGAAACTGAAGGCCCCACAAAATCCATATTTCCGACGACATCGGCTATGCTACACACAACCAAGCGCATTATGTTTACTTTGCAGATGTGCTTAGCGGAAGGCGACCACCGGGGGTAAGTACTGCGCGTTCTCATTTCGTACGACTCACTGATTCCGTGGTACCCGTTGCCCCAGACCTGGTGGATGCCCGATATATAATGTGTATGTCGCGAGCGGGTACGGGGGGCGGAAGGAGACACACCCAATATGAACGATCGAGGAACAGGGAGGAGGAACATCAAGGAGTGACACAAGAGAGAGAGAGCCAGAGGCAGACATTAGCATAGTAAAGAGTGGTAAAGAGTTTGATAAACATTCCATGAACATTCGATACTGTGAGTGGGCACCGGAGCAGGTCAAGACGCGCGCAACATAAGCCGGGGCAAATCATGTACACATTTTGTTGACGACGTGCACGCAGCAACCCTTGACATTTTCCAACAAGGTTCCTTTGCCTACAGTGCATGTCCCAGCAATTTAGGTTAACCGATTCCGCTGCCCGCTGCCCGCACCTTGTTGCCCCTAATTTCGAGGTGGTCGGAATCGTCGTGCGGGTCGAAGCCTGATGCAGAGAACCGGCGTGCGAAGGTGGGCAAAGTGGAGGTGGAGCTGTAAGTGGAGGGTACAACAGGAAATATTTGTATGTATTGAGGAGAGGTAGAAAAAACTGAAACATACGGAGCACCGTTGACCTCCACTTGTCACCCATCACACCTAACGAGCACAATTTTATTGCTGGCGCATTTCATGAATACAACTTGGGCTGCAGTAGTTGTTCTGCAGACGACCTCAAATCACCACCAGACGACGAGCCGTTGCTCGCTGAAGAACCGAATCACACCGTAGAACCGAATCAAACCGTAAATCTGTTGGTTTCGACTCATGGTACGCTGGATTTTGTTCATCCTTAAATATCGGCCCAAGATGTCTTCGCAGGAAGCCTTCTCCAGCCGATCGAAAAAGAATGGAAGAAAGCAACCGCATACAGAGTTTGTTGCAGTGCTTACCCTTTGTTGTGGAATAAATATGTGAAAACCAAGAAAAATGGTGTGGGCTGATTTGAGTGGTTACAGTGCTAAATATATAAAAATAACTACATTTTGCAAGCGTACCCATCCGCCACGAGCAAGACTAAGAGTATGGACAGAGCGATTGGGTACGCTTGAGCAAGATGTTCGTCAACTGGCGCTTACCGTAGCCGACGTTGTCGTAGACGTCGTTGTCGATCCACTTGCCGCCCTGGTGCCCGTAGGAGTAGTGCCCGAACCACTGCAAACGCAATTATATTCGTCGAAATCAGCGAATACGTGCCAAGGAATCAACCGAACATGAAAAATCAATGGTACCGTGGTCGTCGACTCTCAGTTGTTGTCAACCAACACCTTTGGTCTTGTTGGTAGGTTTGTGGCGATCTATAGGCTTCATAACCTTCGCCACCCAAATCCTGCAGAATGTTCCAGGGTCCACGAGTCCTTTCGTCACCCATACTCTAGCCGAGAACACTTCAAAGTGTCTCGAACCCACGACCACAATGTAACTATTATGGAAACCGAATCAAGACTAGACTACTGCGCTTTCTTTCCTGAGACCCTGGATACTCCCGGCCAGAGTATGGGTGACGGAAGGACTCGTGTACCCTGGAACATTCTGCAGAATGTGGGTGACAAGTGATATGAAGCGAAATAAAGATTGGACGGATAGTAGCGCTGGCAAAGGGAATCACCCTTTACGGAAGTGAAAGTACGGGGGCTCATGTCCCGTTGTTGTGGTCGAGACTTCACGCATCTACAACCGTAGTTTGCTTGCTGATATCTCTATCGTCTCGATGCCGTCAGTATCCTGAGTTACCACTGTTTCATGGCAATCAAACGAACATCAGGTCGCCGCTTGACGGAGGACAAACAAAATGAAACGTTTGACCACTTTCTATTCCTTCAATGCAAGGGCACAATGAACAGGGGGGCTGAGACCGGAGGAATCCCTAACTCTCTACAAATCGCAAGGTAGGATCAAAACATCGCCATTGAAATCGAGGGAGTACTGCCCCACATGGTACTTACACCAGACACACAGGTAAAGTAGATGTGAACAATAAAGGGGCATTTCTCTGTATTCTTACGTTGTTGTGGATCTTGGACCTGTAGATGTCTCCGTAGACCGCGTAGGCTCCGTACACAGGGAAATCCTATTGAATGTTGCAGTGTCAATAGCAAAGGCAACGAAAATCGTAGTATTTTTTCAGATAACCTTAGCGTTTCCCTAAGAGCAGCTGGCTAAGTCCACTCCGCACACTTCTCTCAATCATGACCGACCTCTCTCTCGCAACACTCCAGTCACTGGCTACCCTAAAAGCAGTGAAAACTCAGGAAAACGCCTTACAAGTATCTAGCACGCGGGAAAGAAGCCCTCCGGTGATGAATAGTTTTGACTATTAGATAGGCTCGAGAGCGAAGCGAAGTTCGGAAAAAAAAACCAAGCGCGAACTATGTAGACTACTGTGTACAGTAGCAAACAGCTTTATCTGTTGGGGATGCATTGGTGACTTGCTTGTTGCAGCGAAGGCAGGGCGAACCAATGCCTGATTCGCAAGAAGCGCAGCACCGATCCCAAACGAAGCAAAGACAAATTGACCTGATCATCGTCGAAGATGTCGACATTTTCGAGGGTCTTGCACAACCCGCGAGCCTTGTAGGAGACACCGTACGACTCGCTCTCAGAGTACCCGAGATCTGTGGTCAAGATGCATACGGAAATGCATAGGACAGCAAGCAAGAGGGGGGGGGGGGGGCGTGGTTCGCGACACAGCTTGTCTACCGCACCATTTCACACCGATGAAGGTAACTTGTTGGACAAATGGTACAAGCTTCTTTTGGATATCGACTTTCATGGAGAAAGCCACGTCATGTTTCCATGGAAGTCCATGAAAGGTTCACACGCTTCCTTCATGAAAGAAAGCACGGCTTTCATGGAAGCCGCTCATTTCCGTGGAAGCCGCGAGCTGCGTGTCGGATTCCGGCGCCAGCTTCCTTAAGCTCCCATGGAAATTGCCCCTATCAACTGCAAAGAAGTTGCATTCGTCGTGTTAACAGCAGGTGGTTGCTTCCGTGGAAGTCTCGTCATTAACTTCCACGGAAAAGTTCAAACGCCTCCCCGAAACTGTAAGAAAGTATCTTCATGGGAGCAGAGCAAATTTTCTGTGACAGCAACTTCCACGGAAGCGTTTGTCAGGGCTGGACGGGGCAACCAAGCCATACATCTTGCGTGACGAGATTCAGGTATCCTTCCATTGTCTCTCAGGCATTCGCTTTCGCTCACTTCCAGGCAACACTGAGGAAGGGGGAACGCTTGCACATGGCTTGCTGGTGCTGCTGCGTTTTAACAGGTCCTAACCATCGTACCGCTTTTGTACCTGCCTAATGACGGAATAACAAGAACCTGGGCAGATGGTCGGGATATTCCTAAAACATATACCCGCCCAAATGGCATCTTAGTCCAAGGCTCCAAATACCATAACATTCGTCAACAACTAATGTAGGAAATCGGCCGTAGGGCCCCCTGTCACAAAATATTTGGGAAACACCCGAAACACGTATGAAGTACTTGGAAAGGCACGTGAGGAGCGACCTTGAAGTACTTGGTCGACACGTTCATGCCTCGGCACATATCTGTGGGAGCGATGATGACCACACTCGTCTGAAGCGGCGTCGCCCCCCAAAAAGTACAACATACTTACTTGCAGAGTCCGGTTCGCGATTGTTCCCCCGCCCATGCACTCACTGAATTTAAGAAAATACCTCCGACTAATACTGCCGTGGTATGTGTGTATGTAGCAATCTAAGAGCGGCCCGCAGAGTCTCTATACTTCCCTTTCGATGTGTGGCAAGAATCCACTTTTCACAAGTCGAGCCGTCACTGCTTGGGAGACCCAATATCAAACTCAGAGTGGGCACGATTCGTAACATCTCGCAGGTTGTTCGCACTTTGATGGAATCTGTATGCTAACTCTTATACTGTAGAATGCTCACATGCCAGCTCCGAGTCGTAGATGTCCATCCTGGCGACCCCCATCTGTTCTTTAGCTTGACCGGTGCTATATCCATCTTCGCCGGCTTGGGTGTCGGACGGGCACAAGTCCTCATCGCGACCAGTAATGAACTCGGTAATCGCGCTCAAATACCTGTCCACAAGATGGGTAAACGCCAGCAACTCTCCAATAAATAACCCTAAACGCCCTGCCTACTCGGGGCCCACACGTACGCTTAATTCAGTTTTTTGGAGTACCAGTAGCTAAACGCGGTGACGAGATGAAACGCAACGAGATTGTTCGCAGGCCGACGGTATATGGGCCAAACAATCTTTTTGGCGACACTCATTCAAGAGACGACAAAGCCCGTACCAAAGAGTCTTCGGGTATGGAGCCGACCGAAGGTATCACGGCGTTTGGTACTTCCTTGCAACTTACGGCCGGCCGTTGCCCGTGTCCGTGTCGTAAGTACCCGTGGTTATGTCCCACGAGAAGATCTTCGTGTCACGGACAACCAGGTTCCCTCCATGGGCGCGAATATTCAGGCTGTCCGTGCCCGTAATATCGTCGTTGCCCGCCTGCGGTTGATGTGCGTTATTAATTGTAGTGATAGAGGTGACAGCGACGGTCATGATGTGGTGGCCTGGTCTCGTACGTTGTTCTTTATCGCTTTGATTGTGTTAATAGCGTTTGGATACCGCTATTTCCTCGTTGGAGGAGCTCCGGTGCGTAGCAGTTTCAACGGTGTTCACTCGCAGGTTCTACTGTAGACTGTCTCACCATAAGAAGAGTCTCGCACGCGAGGGCTCCCGTGCCGTCGATCTCGAGAGTGGCGGCGTTCCTGATGTGGATGTGGCTGTCGAGATAGTATACACCAGTGTAAGTGTCTGAAATGACGTTGTTCTCCTGAACTCGCAACGACGGGCAGACGCACGAACAAACCATATGTACGGCCGAATCAGCATGAATGGAAGCTTGCCAAGTTAGGGCGTGCGTCTCCGGTTGGTTGTTTTTGGCCCAGAGCCCAGCCGGGTGGTGGGTAGTTTGTGCTTAAGTACATGTAGTACACTATACATGGGGCTACGGGCGCATCTACAGCAGCAGTATCACCGCGGCGACGAAAAACAAGCACAGAAAAAGGAATCGTTAATTAAATTTGGCTCTTCTGCAAGTACCAAGCAAGGTGTATCAGGGTTGCCAAGGGCGCACAAAAAAAGGTTTTCCCAACACCCGCCAGGAGGGGTGTGAAAAAAGTTTCTTCTTTTCACAACTTTTCATGAAATTTTTTCGTACAGGCTTTCTTGTCTTTCTCCCTCTATCCATTCCGTGTGCTTGCGTGTGGTGATATTTACGGCACGACGTGCACGCAGGACCTGGCTACAGGAAGGTGTAGATTGTTCCCACCTGACCCGAACTATATCTCTGACTGGACGTCTATTTCGTAGGTCGCGGGTTCGAGCCCCGAAAAAAAGCTTCCATCTTTTTTTCCATTTGAGCAAAATATTATATTCCATACCATGGTATATATTTTTTTTCGCTAATTTTCTTGGCCCAAAGGTCATCTCAGTTTTCAGTTGTCCCATTTTCGCATGTTGAGTAGAAAAAAACTGTACAATGTGAAAAAAACGTTGTTGAAATAAAAGGCCAGAGTGCCAGCAGAAATATCACAAAAATAATACGACCAAAATATGTAAGTCTTGCCCCATACGAGCACTTTGAAGCAATGGTCAACTTTCCATCGTTTGTTAGGGAAAAATCCGGATCATCCCCCCGTTATCCCCCGGGTATCTATCCCCTTTTTTATAGGGTTGCATATCACATTCATTCATCATCTGTGTGTTGCAGGAGTATTGCTGTGAACGCATTCCGGTCTATAATCAATCATGTCTGACACATAAAACTCCAATTATCCCGAATATTCCGTTCACCCTCAAATAAATATCGCATAGAATTTGGCTCAGATTGAGTGGTTCTTCATGCAAAAAGCCGTGACGGGCTGGGGACACTTCAAGTTTGGATTTCAAATTTTGGAGTACTGTACAGCAGTAAGTAGTGCTTAAGGACAACCCCCCTCACCTACAAGTAACTCAGAACTTCTCAAAGCCCCTGCGACAAGTCCACGAAATTTGACCTTGGGCGAATATGGCGAAATAACACAAAACAAATAAATGACAAACCAGAACCAAAATGACACATACCCACACATCACATGCGTTGAAACGCCATCATTCCAAGCTTACTCAAGCGGGCAACATACCGAAGAGGGGCTGTCCATGAGCCTACGGCGGTGGCATCACCTTCGCCACGTGCAACACCCCATGCCATCCACAATTACTTACTTAATTACAATTTGCCTTGCATTGTACTTATTTTCACTCCCCGAAGCCCCCCCACCTCCTCCCTCAACAAGACTACACCGCAGTTTCTACGAGCGCTCTCGCGTCGAGCGCCTTCGCCCTCCATCTCCCTCCTGCGGAGTGTGCTCATCGTGACAACTCTCCCTAAGCTCTCTCTCTCTCTCTCTCTCTCCTCAACTGCTGGTTACTACATGCGGGAGGCTGGTTCAGAGGCAGTAGACATTTGGCTCTCCAGGAATCGTACGCCTGTTCTATTCTATCTTCCTATAAATAATCTCACTCTCAATTTCATGCTTCGCTCTCAATTTCGCGAATATGTTGTTAAACAATATTTAGGGTTATCGCACGGCCTTTGCTTTTTTTTAGCTGCTTTTTTCTTCAGTCTGGCTTTGTCAGCTGGAGACCTGCATAATGCGTGTGTGTGTGTGTGTGTGTGTTTTTATGTGATCTCGAACATATTTGTGCCACACTCAGCTCGCTCCAGAGCTCACGCATCTTGTCGCGTCTACACCCAAGACTCAGTATTGCCAGAGAGATTCCTTCTACACCAGAACCAGTGTCCTGATGATCTGGGATAACACGTGTGTCATACTGGTTGGTGCCGTCACATGTCCATGCCTACTGCTGCTGTGTATTCGTCCCACACCGCTGTGGCTTTTTTTCTAGCGTTTGATGGCTGGCGGACCGCATGTAGCTCACAACCATGCTCACATCATGCACACACATGCACACTCGTGCGACACAAATATGTCCGAACCATGTAGCTTCACTTCCCGTTGCTCTGCACCCTCTCTCCTGACACCACGAAAGTTCTTGATCGCTCTGCCCACCCCTGACACCGCAATGGCATAGCTCTGCTACGGACGGTACCGCGGCTGGCTGCGAGCTGCGGTACGCTGGAGGGCTACTACGTGGATTGTACGACCCCCTTGCATGAAATGTGCCCCCGTTACATGAAGGATTTAGTAACAACTTGTTTATACAGGAAATAATGTGGCGTTTGCATTGGGGGATGCAAGCAAATCAATGCAGTCCACCGAGAGGCCTTGCCCAACGGCGCATCCAACATCAACTGCCCTCGGGAGTTTCTCGTGTTGTTTGTCTACATGATGATTTTCCAAAATATTTCCAAAATATTAGTGCAGCAAAACGTCCCTCTCGTGGCCAGTTCGCACATTCACTACTACTGTGTACGTACGCACGTACATGATCACTGAGTTTTTGTCGTTTTCGTGAACTCGCTATATTCCCATAAAAAACATAATTTCCGAAATCAACGAAAAACAAACCCGTTTTTTTTTCCAGTCTTCGAACCTTGTCGGTCCCAAAGTTACTTGGCGCTAAAGCAGCATGATGTAGAAGAGTGGGGTGTCAATGTTGATGTTGTGCCAAATTAAGCATCTTGTTGCATGCTTGGTATATATTGACTGATAATTAGCAGCATTGAGGGATAAATACAGCGCTGTCCCGCCCAACTCACATTCGTTTTCGTTCCTTCAAGAGTTGATTCATTGCAAAAGAACTTGAAGAATATGTTGCGCCTGACTATATCTATGTAGTCTATGTATCGTCAAAGGGAGTTTTCTTTCTCGCCCTTCCTGTCGGGTTCGAGCAATTGTCATCACTGCTGCTATTGATCGTTTTGTCAAAAGACAAAATAGTCTACAGCAGTAGTTGCACATCGCGTTCCCAACTTGAAAATTGGCAAAACCCAGAAGGAAAACAAAGCATGACTTCCGCACACACAGCATTACTAATAATACGGACGGACGGACGGACGTGTATCCATCAGGCGATCTCGGAGGAGTCACCGCCCTTACGTTTTACGCTATAAAATTGTCCCGTGAAGCAGTACATTTTTCATCGTGGCCTTCATGTCGAGACTAGAAGTAAATGAGATACAGCAGTGGTACATTATTACGATAATACGGCTTTTCAACAACTGTTAGTCGGTGCTATTTTTATATGTACGTACCTGGTCAAAGTAGTACAGAGGGCCCTTTGCCCCAAGGTTGTCAGAGCGATCTTCATAGATGTCAGCCATCGTTGCGCAGCCGCCGTTGATGTACAGGCGGTTAGAGGATTCCGCCCACGAGATCTCCGGAGCGCTTCGCAAGTAGTGACCAGGGGGGGAGGTGTAGGACGGTCAGACAAAAGTGAACGAGAAGAGGAGCGTCACGATCGTTGAGAATATACTACTTCTACAGTAGAGACGGACGAACAAGAACGCCACACGCACGCACGCGTAGACACTCGCGACTTACAGCAGATCAACTCTACGCGATGACTAAGCCAACCAAGCGATTCGACAGTACGTGCTTGCAGCAATCGCTTTGTCCCAATGCACAACAAGTCAGGAGTCTGGTTCACGATTGTCGATCTGCTGCTGCACACGGGCACACGGGCACACGGGCAGCGCCTACACGGAACCACAGAAGAAGCATTGAGGCATGAGCACATCTATCTGTCTCCTTCTCATTCATCATATTTCAATATTTTTAAAAGAACAGAAAAGGAGATTGTTGGAGCAAAGGCGAAGAAACGTGTTGCAATCAAATTGCCCACTGCATGTCCAGAGTGAACAAACCTCACTGTATCCGAACAAGGTAGCAGAGTGAGTAGTCGTCGCTACCGTTCTACGACCTTGTACGCGCAAATCTTTGAAGTTGTCTCTGGGGAAATCATGGTCTGTCCGTCTAACTCGCCAAGGCCGGGTCATACTGCTCTGAGCCACCACCACTCACCTTTCGCCGTCGCATGCAGCATCGACGGCTCCCAGGTAGCAAGTCAATGCGGCTGCCACCACCGCTAGCGGGGCGACACTCCGCTCAGCCGTTCGAAGCACCATTGCGAATACTTCGGCGGTGCGAGTGAGTCCAACTAACCACGCTTCTTGTGACGACGGGCAGCGGTGTGTTGCGGAGGCGTGGCTGAAGAGTGATTGTTTGGGGTGGTTCGCGCAGGATAACGGCTACTGCCCCTTTCGGCGGCCCCTTTCGACCGCCGACCCTGTTCACAGATGATGGCTGCGGTATCCTGAGCGTTTCAGACCACACACGGTTTCCAGCCACGGTTTCCAGCATTTATCTCCGGTCTCTGCTGGACTTCCGTTCATTTCTTCTCGAACTCACTCACCCGTTCAATGCCCAATGCCAATGAGAGGGGGGTACGGGAAAAAGCGTCACATGAACACCAATTAATTGGTACAACTACGTACGTGTCGGGTGCTAACGTCGGGTGCATCATAGATAACCTGCAAAATAGAGTTTGTCTGCGCCCATCCTCACCGGGCAACGCACATGCGCACATGCGCCTGCGAGTTGCTATCAACGTTAAGCCGCCGCGCCTGGCCGCTGAAGTACACAGTATGAGAGAGCTCCACCGGTAGAACGCCGGTAGGATCTTGGAGACTACTACACTGAATGAACGAAATGTAGCCGTTTCTTATTTCTTATCGTATGTCGTCCATCCTCTGGTGGTTCGGGTTAATTTGCTCGCGGTCAGCATGAAGAAAGTGGTCCTATCGTCCAAGCTACTTCGTTCTGGGTTCGTTCTCGGTGGTACTGACTGGCGGAAAGTGTTGCTGTG